AAAATTATTTCTAACTCAGGTGACTGTATGGTTTTTACAAAATAGCGTTCTCGTAATAATGTTATGTAAATTCTGATAAATATGTTATAATTCGCTTTTCTCGCAAAAAATTGGCCAAATTAGACACATTTCCTCTATTAATAATAGTATTATCCGTGAATTGTTTCAGATCAGCGAGTGATCTTCAACAACACGTATACATTTGAAAACCATTAGGCTGATATCGCAAATAGAGCTCTTGGAAATTTAGGCTTTCTGAAAAGAATGACTTCCGATTTTTCAAATGTCTTTGTTATAAAAAAATGTATGTCAATCCCTCGACCGTAGGATATTTGGATACGTTTTTCTAGTCCGGGCTCCTTACTATGACAAAGATAGTGCTCTTATTGACGGGGTCTAATCAAAGGCACTTAAACTTAGTGTATAAGAAGGTGGATTTAATGTCTTGGCATTGAGTATGAGGATTCCTCTCGGTCTTTCAGTCGGAGTTTTTCATTCATTGGCGAGGTCCGGCATTTCGTCTTTTGGATAGAGGGTGCTCAGTGATCACATTGATGCCTTGAGATTTTGGAGCGCTTTTCTCTTAACACCTCTGCATCGAACTTGAGACGCCATGTCTAGTTGTACAGGGCAAATCCGGAGGAAATATTGCTGATTTCTTCAATGAGCTACAGTTAAGCCATTTTTTATTGACTTTGTATTTTTATTTTTATTCTGCCTTATCCGTTTATAGTTATTCTATTTTTGTATATATTTATTTTAGTTTTGACTGAATCCGTTGTGGGCAAAATGCTCGTGGGGCTGTAATAATGAGTACTAACTGCAACATTAAATAAATACTAGAACCAACTATTCAGAAAGTAGCATTCTTCTTACTTAAATCGAACATTTCATTTAGCAATAGTTTGAAGATCAAACGGCCATCTAGAAATAGTTAAGCTAGTCTGAGCAGTTAACGTGTGCAGGAAGAACCTTGTTAGTAAAAAATCTCAGATTTGCCGAAGTAGAACATCCTAAAAACAGTTGGAATGTCATAATTAGCCTAGGAAACATTCGTGTTGATTAACGTTCTTTCGAAACCAGTTTCCTTATAGCGTGGTCACTTAAGCGTTATTATGTATATAATGTATGCAGATGATATTTTTATTCTAGGCTCACCCAGAAACCTAGAGAAAAAAATATGCCTCGGCGTTTTTAAAACTACTTTATTAATAATAACGATATGTTGTAATCGTCGATCTACTGACCAGAAAAACACAATCAAGCTTTAAATAACTTTTTCTACTTATATTTTTATGTACCAAAATCATTCAAAATTAGCACTATAGGGGGGCGTAGGTGGCCGCAACGGTTTACGCGTTGACACGGCGCTCATCACTGTAAGGTAAATGTCCCGGGTTCGAATGCAGGGCTGCTGGATTGGACATACCCGTATTTTCAAAAACACCGGCACGCTGAGGGTTTATATGACATCTGCTGTTGCGAACCCACGTAAAAAAGGAAAAAAAATAAGCACTATAATTTAACTAAGAGGAATTCGAAAACCATACAATTTGAACGACAAGATAATTCCAATTTAATGGATTAAAATTATTCTTGTGTAAGGACATCATACAGCCAAATTTCTTACGATTTGATGGCCTGTTTAAACATTCTCGCAATTTAAAAGTAACTTTCCGGAATTGCTATCATTAAGATAAACGCCTTTCTCAGCACATCATTGATATCATCTCACTGATAAATGTAGAATGTTCAACATAAAATCCTCCAGCAGTCTTTAGATTTAAATACCATTCTATTAATACGTTTGACTGTAAAGGAATCCGGTGTCGATATCAAGAGAAGGAATTTGACGACCTGGATCACGTTCTTTAAGTATGCCCCTAATATGCCGCAATGAGGACAGGTTGCCATCGACCTAAACAGAGTCGACAACCGCAGCTATTTTGATTGGAAGAACACCACCAACGTCAAATCTGTCTGAATTTTTCCTAATTTAATATTTTAAGCCTAGATCCGTTAATATACTCGCACAGACGCGTTCGCACATACACTAATATATGCAAACATGACTACAGTAAATTTAAGCCTATATAATTTTTATTTTGAGCTGGTAGACCGTGATCAGTTTTATGGGGCCGCGGAGGCCGTGTCGTTAGAACTTACTAACTCGTATTTTCCAAGCTAGTGCTTCTAGGTTCGAATCCCCTAGTGCACATGATTTTTTAATTGATAACATAATGAAAAATGTTTTATGAAGTTGTCTGACTCCTCGTCCGCGTCACCCAACGGGCTAATTGGGCATTAATGGTGCTTGCAAGTCGCTCTGGTCTGATGCCAAAAATAAAAAAGTAGCATAACCTTGCTGACTAGTTATGGTGATATTACTTCGTTTATGATTGGGTCATGATACTTATGTGATTCTAGGTCCGTCTATCCTCTCTGGATAAATTTTCACCCGTAGTGAGACATCTATTTGAGATTTTAGATCCTTCTACATTTCTTAAGTGGGATTTTAGTAAAGTTTCTTCAAAAAAGTAGATAACAAGTAGATTGCTAATTGTTTAAGAAATGTAAGTATTTTTCAAATCATTAGTAAATGGAAAAAATATGGTTTGCAGCTTTGAATGAAATATCACAGCGAGAATAGACGGATATCAGTTCAATATCTAATTAGTCGTTTCTGTTCATTTTAGTCTGCACTTCTCACTGGTTTGGAAAATTGCAGGTCATCACTTCGCAGATTCTACGACAGTTCAAGTTTGTTCATTCCCTCGTAGTCAAATAAACAGGACCAACTAGTAATTTAATTTGCTCAAATTTCACAAGGTCTAAATAATTGATTTGCAAATGAATCATAGTGACAAACAGAAAACAAAAGAAAATTGGCGAAAAGCTCTAATATTAGAGGAAAATCTAGGCCAGTTGTTAAATGGCAAATCAAATGGAAGAAAAACATCTTAATTACGGCCAAAATACGTGTTTTGCAATTCAGCCCGAGGAGGTGAAAAAACCCTACCAGAAAGTACGAACGTACAAGTTACGTGAAAATATGCGATTCCTTTTACTACTGGGCACAATTTGCGATGGAGGAACGTATAATTTCCTAGATTTCCGAAAGGGGCTATTAATTAAACGCCTTCACAACTGTTATTAGTTACTTAACGAACGAAATACCTGCAAAACGCGGCCTTACAGCATTCCCGCTCATTTAGGCCCATACAATACTTAAGGATATTCCCTTGCAAAAGGCGTACCCTGCTGTACCGTAAAAAATCACTGTCCTGACAGGGGATTCAAGTAGCAAGAGACCCATTTCGTGACGTGCTTTCACATAAAAAAATCTTCCATCGCTACTCCGCGTTGGATCGTGCTCTTCTCAACATCCCGCATCAGATTAGAAAGCACCCTACGTACGGATATTCCTCATCTGGTGTTTTTTCCACAATCTGACTCTGCTCCAGATTACGTCAAGGAATAACGAGTTTACATAAGTGGACATCCTCGGTAAACCGGTGAAAGCCGCTGAGCTACCGTTACACTCCGAAGTCGGTTTGTATCGAACAGATCGCTGCATTATTCCGCATTCCGCCCCATGAGCTACTAGACCGTGAAATCGAGTTTCTATAATGAATCCGGCTACTATATTTTGTTCGTGATTTACTGTTTTTTACCTTCTCTCCCCTGACCCCTGGGAGTGGCACGTGCTTGCTTTTAAAGAATTTCAGATCAATAGAAAATTTAAATATGGAAATTGGTAAACCAAAAATCGAATTCAATCTTCTCACAATAAACACCCCTGCCAAAATCGACTTTCTCTTCGGACGGAAGCAATTACCCATCCTTCTTGAATATCGATGTATCTACATGTACATCTGCCAATTGTATGGGAGTATACAACACCAATTCCGTTACACTTTTATTTGAATGATTTATTTTATCTATTTTCATAAGTAAATTCTGCTTGCAAGTCAAATGGAGAAAACAGGTTTTAACGGAAATATCGTAACCAATGAATTTTACATAATAGTAAAGATTTTCACTAAACTATTATTATGAAACAGATTTTTTGCATAAAAGTGATTTTATAATATAAAAACAATTGGACTATGATTATTTATAAAGCTTTTGAATGATAATTAAATTAAAAATAAACTGTACACAATTTGCATTAATGCTTGTCCCATTTTGGATTCTATCTTGATTAGTTTTCTGAATATTTGAACCAAAATTAATGTTTTTGTGGCTTTTGAATCTGGAACAATGGGCTCAAAGAAACAACCAACTTAATATATTTTTTTTTTTCAAGATTTGCAGTAAATCTTTGTGAGAAAAATCATACAGTGAATAAATTTGAAAATTTGGGGTGTTTTCTTCGTTTTAAGTTTACTGTTATCTGTATCTTTTTAAACAATAGCAACATTTTTTATATAAATGAAAACCTTTTCAAATATAGAGAAGAATAATAAGATAAGTCTTGTATTAAAAAACAAAATCTCTTGATCAGGGTATACTTTACATCTATTTTTCGGATTATCGAAACAGTGTGCTAAAATAAAAGAGACCCCGCTTTTTCCGGGACGAGGCAACGAACTTTCTGGGTGTAAAAAAATTCCAGGAGTGTTCCTGCGGTTGAGCAGTCCTGCGGTCGGACGGCTTCTATTTGCGGCTCCCCCTCGTTACACCTTTTGTTTATTGGGGGGTTGCTTTCCAAGGAGATGGTCCCTTCTGGAACTCGGCCATTCTTACTGCGTTGGTTCTAAGGGATCAGATTCACAAATTCAAAAATGGTTTCGAAAGGGTCCCCAAAAACTAAAGATAAACCAAAAACTAACTAAAGCTTATAGCCATCTAAATTTGATGTAGAAGAGCGTGACCAAGCGCACCACATTTCATATCATACTGGTGACAGATTTGTATTCAGTTGAATGAGTTACAGAACGATAGAATTTCTATTTACAATTAAAGTTAAAGAATATTTAAAAACTTATTTTGCTTACTTAACAAACAAGTCCGCAAGTCCGGAGGGCGACGAAAAGGTAGATGAATGGTTAAGGCCGGGACGTCCCAACCTCCGGTCTTAACCACTGCAATCCTGGCCTTCTGACGCTAAAAATAAGTTAAAAAGCATATTAAAAGAAAGCGCAGGTTGGCCCGTTCGGCAGGGAAGCTCTCATGTAATCAAGAGCACTGTCGATAGGTGGCCCTCGGAAAATCTGATTCAAGGGTTTTCCCTTAAGGATAGGCCATGCGAGGTTTAACACACGGACACTTAATTTGGGCCAAATCCCGCGTATCTGTACGGCATGTAAAGAAAGGGTACTCGATGTTTCCCATCTCGCTGAATAGGAATGCCACCCAATATGAGAAACGTTCTTGCGCAGCGAGTATCTGGGTCCCCTGTTCTGGTTTTTGGAGGAAACGGGGTACAATAGAACAGTACATAATATTGATAGTTTTGTGTCCCTAGCGTGTGAAATGGGAGAGAATGAATGTGTAGTGTGAGAGGGTCATTGGCGGAATATTGAGTACATCATCGACCCTCAATTAGATTAGTTATATAATAACTTCCAACACCTGGGGTGGGTGATTTTCGAAGTCCGCCTGTAATTTGTTGTAAATTACAAAAGCTGGAAATGCCTGCGGACTGAGAAAAGTGATAAGTTCAACTCTCTACACGTGCGTATGTCTTTAAGTGCATGTTCAGATTTGAAAGTTACATAAATCAGTAATCAGTACTCAGTTAACAAAGAAAGTTAAAACATGAAATAAGGATCAGCGCATGTTCAAAACAGTGAGAAAAATCAGGTTCGATCATATAACAAGCTGTTCAAAAATGCTTTTAGCCGATTAGGACTTTTTTTAATGAAAAGTTGAATTTTGCTATTAAAAAAATGTAATTTTAAGCCTGAACTAGTTTACAGCCGGTTAAAATAAAAAAAATATATTTAGAAAAACTCCTGGATTAATAAGGATTAATAAGAAACATCCGTTCACATACTAGGGACTGAAGAATGACGAGCATCCTCAAATATTGTTCCTAATTTGTTCACTCACAATTTCACCAATTGTTCATGTTAAAAGTGTACAAAGCTTTCACATATATATTTTTTACGCTTGTTAAAAGTAGGTCCTTCAACGTCGGAAATCATAACTCAATGCAGAAATTTCTCCGGGAAGTTTCATGTTCCGTTTTATCTTGATTTATATTTCTGAATAATTGCAATATATCCTTTCTCGGAAATGCATTGCAAATATTATTTTATATTAATACGTATTTTGGTCGAAAACCATGCCTGTTTTTATTGTTTAATAACTGAAATAAAATAAAAAGGCAAAACCAAGCAGAAACTTCTCCACAAAGTTCATTTTAACACGCGTTTGGGGCCGCGGTAGCCGAGTGGTTAAGGCGTCAAACTCTCGGCTAATAGATCCCGCGGTCGTGGGTTCGATCCCCACCCTCTGGACTTTTTTCTGACGCCTAAGAGGACCGATGGCCGCAATTGAAAAAAATTGACACGGCACTCATCAATGGAAGGGGCGGGACCTGATCTCAGCCACCCTGAATTTGGTCCCAACCCCCTTTAAAAATGAGTTTCTTCGATGGAAGAACACCGGCACACCGGGGGCTCAAATTCACGCTTGTGTTGCGAGTCCCCGAAAGTGGAGCCAGGGATAAAGTACAATAAGCTGTACAGCTGCAGTGCCCAGGGGAACTCCTCCAGTTCCAGGTATTCATTGGGAAAAAACAAAAGCAAAAAAAAACGCGTTTAGTTTTACATTTGAAAATAAAAATGGCAATACTACAAAATAGTTAATAAATGTATACACAGGGTTTTTTACAGTCTTATGCTATTTTTCAGGCTTTTTTTCAATGAGCATAAGACTACAAAGGTTAACATAACATTTTTTTTCATTATTTTCTAACAATTTTCCCTTAAGATATACTAGGACTGAATAAATTCCTGTGAAATGAAACAGACCTTCCCTTGCATTAGATACTCCTATAGTAATTGGTCCCTTCTCATCCTTACGGTTCAGAGTTAAAATTTAAGTTCATTAAGCAATCGCCTGTTTTTCAAATTCGTCAATGAATTTTTTCTTTATACGATTTGTAACTTTTTAAAAACCCTTGCAGATAAGCAAACATGGATGATTTAATAATATCTTATCTAAATTTGTCATTTTTGAACCGTGTTCAGCATTGTTCAGAAGATGAAAACATTTGTCCGTAGTGAGAGCTGCTTAATTTCATTGGGTGATATTAAATCAGTATTTTGACCTGAAAATCACTTTCGAAAATCGAAAAATATTTAAGTAACCTTTTGTGGTAAAATTAAGCCATTTGGATTATGAGAAAACTGCGTTTAACATCTGAGATAATAAAAAATACATTAAATTTACTATAAACCAATGGGAAATCTTTGTGCTTTTTTTTTTTTTTTTGGGCAGATGCTTACCACTGTATTTTTCCTGTATAGCTACCTAACTGGATGTATTAGGCTCGTTAAATATACCCTACATTCATTCACCCAATTAAACTAATCAATTGTAAATAGTATTATTAAGTATTATTACGCAATTTCTTTCCTTATCAAATTCGATTAGAAAACAAACCTGTCTGATTTCAGCTTGTTATAAATATAATAACAAGATTGGCTTGAAAAATATATAGATATGTAACCTTGACCTATATTAAACGTGTTATTTTTTTGTACAACTTTTTATTCTCTGATTTTCTTTTTTATACTGATAATATGTCTATTTTCTACCATTGTTTATCGATCGTCAACCGTGGAACTGCATCATCGTCCCGAACTCGAACTCGTCGAGAATTGTCGAAATTTTCCAAGCATCACGCGTTCCGTGGTTCTTTCGCCGCTAATTAAAAATAAATCAATCGGGTCGAGGGAGAGAGCGGGCTTGGAGTTGCCCTCGGCTGCGGATGTGTGAGGCAACCCGGCGAACGTTCTCCCGGAGGAAATAAAAACGATTGTGAAAATTGTAAAATATAGGCTGGTCAAACTTATCTAATGACACGGGGGCTAATTCGAGCAAAAAAGGACTGACGAACAACGAAAATAAACATTTGAAAACAAAGCAACGACAAAATTTCACCTTCTTGCTTGACCTGAAATAACAAATGGACTATCTTGAAAGACAATAACAATACCAAAGTTTTAAAGCTAGCATATAAATATCAATGTGGAACAGGAAAAATTTAAATACTGACAAATACTTAACAACTCTCACGTCACGAAAGTTATAAATAATTTCACAACATACGTATTACACTTATTTTTAATTAATGTAAATAATTGTGAGGCTGAGCGTCAGCTTTCTTTAGCAATATTGCTCATTTTTGTTATATTACATTTTGGACTATTCAGCATATATGTGGCTTAAAAATTTCTGAATTACAAACAGCGATAGACTATCTAAAGCACTTTATTCTACTAAGTTTACATAGCTGTTCTCTTATAAAAAAAAATTCAAGCCCAACTGATACCGGATTGATCAAAAACCACAAAGGTGTACTACACATTTCCAACATAATCCCCAATTTCAAGCCAGGCAAATAGTTGTATTCTTACTACAAGCATTTTTTAAAAACACAAAAGAATTAAACTGCATATCTTTTTTCTGTTTTGATTGAACAATTTTATAATTGAATTTATTGTAGTTTTTTATTAAATTCACTAGTTTTCGTGGTCCGCTAGACCAATTAATTTTTTCAATTAATTAAGTTTTTTAGTTGAGATGAAAAAGTCAGTATCACGAGCGGGATTCGAACCCACGATCTTCGGCTAGGTATGCCGCTGTGCTACCATTTGTCGTGACTCGATCCAATCGGACAGTAACGTCCCATCTCAACCCCTCCTTTTGAATTTTCCCTCCTTTTTGCCATTTTTCAAATGTCGTGTATCTATTTGATTCTCGGCGACAAAAGAAATGGCCACGGAGAGCTTTAGTGAAGATGTACCTCATTAATTTATTAAATTCACTAGTTTTCGTGGTCAACAATTAATATCTTTCCATTAATTAGTTGAGATAAAAAAGTTGGTCCGAGTGGATCGAGGTCACGATCGCTCAAGTGGTAGAGCAGCGGCGTATCTCGCCGAACATCCTGGGTTCGAATCCCGCTCGTGACACTGACTTTTTTATCTCAACTAAAAACCTTAATTAATTCAGAAATGTACTTTTTTATTTGTTTAAAAAGGTTTAAAAAAATCGACACGCTTAACAATATTGTACACAATTGAATTTGAAATGAATCATAGAAGAGACATTTTCATTTTACTTTGTTCAGTAAGAAATATTTCCCTATATAGTTCTACCATTGACCAGATTGTCACAGCCTTTTCTCAAATGTTGTACACGTACGGTCAAGAAATACCTGTCTTCCTGTGAATGTTTGCAGATCCCACTTTGTAAATGCCGAAAGATGCAAGTTTTCAAATTCCTAAACCACAATCTCACATTAGATTAACGTTCATAAATATAAATTTTCAGCAAATTGCAAAAAAATAGAAGTCTTGTCAATATTCGACGTAAAAAATTCAAGTAGAATCCAACAGATCCAACACTTGGATACTTAATACGAATAGAAGCCCGATTCGGAAAGGTCATATCAATAACAAGTTGTCCGTAGCATATCAAAGGGTATGCTGTAGCCTATCATTAACCAGACGAGAACGTACATCATTATCATATATAACCATCCAAAGCCTACATTTATTACAGCACAGCAGTCCTGTTTGGTGGTTAAGATTCAAGACTGAAGAGTTTACAAAAATAAATATTTCTTAAGACGAATTGCATGGATAACTATATAAATAAAAAGAGAAATTATTATAAAATTATAAACTTCAAAAGCAGACTAATAATATCGGACGTTGAAGTTAGTCTTGAAAGTTTGATGACTTTATGTTAACCAGCAAAACATAAGAGGAGAATTTTGCGCTAAATTTATTACTGTTTTTTAGTTACCACAATTACGAATAATCGTTTATAGTAACCAATTAATTATTATTTTTATTTAAGGTTTTTGGTCTTGATGAAAAATTGTGTTATTGTGATATCTCAAGTGGTTAGAGCAACGGCGTATT